TCACTATTATTATGGATAACCTCATGGGTTTGATAAACCCATATGGTGAGATTTTTATTGTATTATCTCGGGCATCACAAATAGTGTTAAATTGTAATTCGATTATTTCGAAACAATGTGTGTGTCGAAGGGAGGTTGCCCGGTCGAAGAGCTTGTGGATTGAAGCAAGTTACACACATATTTGATTGGTTTTAGATTTATATAAATTTGATTTAGATCTAAAATAGATAGATTTGATTTAGTACCAAAATAGGTATTTTAGGCTTTTATAGTTTTGGGTTTTGGCTTAGGGAGCAAGCTAACCTAAATCTATAAATAGAGGGAGTAACCCCTAAATTTTGTAATTAAGTCAATTCATTGTAATCACAGAATTTGCAGTTGCAAGTGATTAATAAAGTTTTCCACAGTTTGTGGGCGGAGAGAAACTCTGTAGAAAATAATTGTCTTCTTTCTTTTCTTTTCTTTTCTCATAATTCATTGTCATTGTATGGTGATATCAATCTTGTTCATCAATATTGGTAGAAATTCATCATAGATATTTGGTGGATTTCCAACATCTGGTATCAAGAGCTCGATTAATCGATTCAAGGGAAGTATCGATCAAGAACGATTGACGAAGAAGAAGAATTCATGATGGTGGGTTATGGGAATAAAAATTATCCAGCAACTCTACCAATTCTGAAAGTAGACAACTATGAGAATTGGTGCAAACAGATGAAAGTTTTACTTAGGTGTCAAGGTCGTTGGGATCTTGTAAAGGATGGATTGAAAGCGCTTGGAGAAAATGCTTCAGAAGAAGAAAAGAAGAAACACACAGAATATGAGAAGCTGAGTTATAAAACACTCTTTATAATTCATCAATGTATGAGTCCAGAAAATTTTAAAAAAGTGAGTGATTCAGAATCTACAAAGAATCTTGGGAGGTTCTTGAGAAGTCTTTTGGTGGTGTAGAAAAGGTGAAAGAAGTGACGTTACAAACTCACAAGAGAACATATGAATTGCTTCAGATGGAAGATAGTGAGAGCATGTCTGATTTCTTCACTAGGGTTACAAAACTAGTGAATCAAATCAAGGTATATGGAGAAACATTAATAACAAGAGTTGTTATTTCGAAGATCTTGAGATCTTTGGCTCCTAAGTTCGACCACATGGTGGTGGCTATAGAAGAGGGGAAAGACTTGTTTAAATTGACAAAGGAAGAGCTTCAAGGGACACTTGAATCTCACGAACAAAGAATGACTGAAAGAGCTACAGGCAAGTCGAAGAGTGATGTAGCTTTGCAAGCACGTTCAGCAAAAGAAACCAAAGGAAAAGGAAAGTGGTTCAACAGAGGTAGAGGCGGATACAACAAATAGACTGGTAGAGGAAACCAGAATGAAGGAAACATGTCGAATCAAAGAATACTATAACAAGGCAACCGAAGAGGTGGTGTTGCAAATAGAGGAAGAGGTGGTGGTCGAAAACCTGACAAGAGTCACATTCAATGTTACAATTGTCAGAAGTATGGTCACTATTTGAGTGATTATCCAGAAAAGCGAAAGAATCAAGAAAGTGATGCAAAGTTTGCAAAACATGAAGAAGAAGAGATAATGCTGATGGTCATAACAAGAGATTAAGATATATTCAAGGACCAATGGTACTTCAATTCAGGACGCTCATCACATATGTCTGGAAGGAAAGACTGGTTTGTCAACATAAAGCCCTCAATGAAAAATATGGTAAAATTCGCAAATGAAAATACCCTAGCAGCTGAAGATATTGGTGATGTTATAATTATGGTGAAAGATGGCAAGAGGTCAGTAATTTCTAATGTGTTATGCATACCAGGCATGAAGAGCAATTTTCTCAGTATAGGGCAGTTGGTCGAAAAGAATTATAAAGTGTCAATCGAAGATAAGATGATGAGAGTCGTCGATGAAAATGGAAGATTAATCTTGAAGGCTCCTATGTCTCAGAATAGAACCTTCAAGATCGAACTAAAAGTGATGGAGCATAAGTGCCTTTCTACTGCAGCTAGCAAAGATGAATGGATATGGCATTATCGAATAGGCCATCTCAACTTCAGAGACATCAGAGATTTGAAGAGAAGAAATATGGTTTCAAGATTGCCAGAAATCGACATTCTAAACGAGGTATGTGAGGAATGTGTGCAGGCGAAGCAACACAAGAATAACTTCGGCAAGGATGCAGGAAGCAGGTCAAAGGTTATTTTTGAAGTCATATACTCTGATGTATATGGACCAATCCAGGTGGATTCGATGGGAGGTAACAAATACTTTGTTACATTCATAGATGATTTCAGTTTAAAGTTGTGGACTTACCAGATCAAGAAGAAAAGTCAAGTGATTGAGGTATTTGCCAAGTTTAACTCTATGGTCGAAAGACAAAGTGGTCAAAAACTTAAAGTTTTGAGAACTGATGGTGGTGGAGAGTATGTGTCAAAAGACTTCAACAGATTATGTGAAAAGGAAGGGATTATGCAAGAGGTGGTGCCACCCTATACTCCACAGCATAATGGAACTGCAGGAAGGAAGAATCGAACCATCATGAATATGGTGAGAAGTATGTTAAAAGGCAAGAATTTACCTAAAGAGTTTTGGGGTGTAGCTGTGTCGACTGCAACATACATTTTGAACAGATGTCCTACAAAGAAGCTAGAAGGAATTACTCCAGAAGAATGTTGGTCTGGTGTGAAGCCTAGCTTGAGTCATCTGAAGGTATTTTGATCTATTGCACATAGACATGTTCCAGATCAGTTGAGAAGAAAACTTGATGACAAGTCGAGTCAAATGATTCTAGTTGGATATCATTCGACAGGAGGTTACAAGTTGTTCGACACATTGAACAAGAAGATTGTGATTAGCAGGGACGTGATCATATATGAGCTTAGAGAATGGGATTGGACTGAAAATTTCAAGAAAGATTCAGTGGAAATCTTACTTGAAGAACCAGAAACTCAAGTCAAAAGAGAAGTTTGACAAGAGGAACCAGCAGTTATAGATAAACCAAGTACAAGCAGACCTCAAAGAACAAGATGCATGCCTGCAAGATTGAAAGATTGTGTGATTACATCAAATGATGTGATAGATAATGAAGGTGAGTTGGTACATTATGCTTTCTATGCAGATGTCGAACCTATCAATGCAACTGAAGTATTGAAGGATTCGAAGTGGGTGAAAGCAATGAGCGAAGAAGTGAAGTCTATCGAAGACAACAACACTTGGTCACTTGTCGAATTACCTCAAGGCAAGAAGGAAATTAATGTCAAGTGGGTATACAAAGTGAAAATGAATTCCAAAGGGGAAGTAACTCTACACAAAGCAAGGCTTCTGGCGAAAGGATTTCTACAGAAAGAAGGAATAGACTTCGGTGAAGTTTTTGCACCTGTTGTTGGGATCGTGTTGCAACTGGGTTTTTTATAGAGCCGCCACCCTTAATTTTTATCCTAAAGGAAGAGAGTATAAAGGAATAACCCTAAAAGTCATAGATTCTAGATTTGGACTCAGTTCTAGACGAGTGGAAGGTGTTAGGCACCCCTTATCTACATTGTTCACAAGGATACTAGGTTTAGAAGTGCGTTTTTTAGGAAGTAGGGTTTTAATTTTAGTTTTTGGCGGAAAAAGGGTTTGAATTTTAGTTAGGGGAAAAAGGGTTTGAATTTTAGTTATGGGAAAAGGGTTTAAATTTTAGTTAGCTGAAACTCGCCACAATTTTGATCATATGCCTACGTATCCTCCTAGGAGGAATCAAAGTCCCATTTTCGTAGTTCGCGGTTGGTTTGTATTTTTTTTATGGATTGCATAGAATTGCCTTCAAACTAACCTTGAACTTTGTCTGGGTTGTAAATTGAGTGGTCATAGACGCAGTTCGTAGTTTGATTCAAAGTCGATGCTATTTAATCCTTTTTGAAAATGTTCTTGAATTTGATTATGTTAGTGGAAAAAGTTTTAATTTGGTTAGATGTATTAAGACGTAGAGCAGAGGAGTATGATATAGTCTCCTTATCACGTGGTCAGATATTGGCCATGTGTCATTCGCGGGTGATAATTTTGGTGAGTTTGCATGGATTTTAATTGTTTGATTAATTTGTTTGTGAGAGAAAAAAAAGTTTGGTGATGGTTGCGTATTTTTTATGAATCGTATTAATTGCAAAATATCTTATTAATGCGTGATTAAAAAAATATTTAATGCAAATAATATAAGAAAATACATATGAATGAGTTTTTAATAAAAATATAATTTAAATGATAATAAATAATAATAATATATAATAATAATAATAGTATAAAATAATATTAATAATAATTATAAAAAAAATGATAATAATATAACGATAATAATTAAAATATAATAATTATAAAAAGATGTAGAAAATAAGTAAATACCAAGAGGGTGCATTTTCTAGCAGGCAAGTAAAAGCAGGGGGTGCTGAAAGGATTCTGGGCTAAGCCCATTACGCAGGCTGGTAGGGGAGAGTGTAGTTGGTTTTGAGTTTAGCAATTAACTAAAAGGGGTGTGTGGAAATCACTAGGCCTAGGCCCCAACGCAAGTGAAGAGGGCCGGTGGGATCGCATGCAGCGAGGGAGCATGATGCTTATCGTGGAACTTGGCATACGTTTGATTAAAATCTAAGGGAGGATAACAAGGAAGAATGGTAACTGGGATGAGCACGCATGCACCGGATTAGACTGAACATATCATTTTGTTTTATTCATTTTTCAATTTGTTAGTTTACAACAACAATCATTATCCCTTTCTCTCTTCTCTCTCGCGACGCCCTTTCCTTCACTCTCCCAACCCTAAAACTTTTTCTTTTCTTCTCTACGGCAGCATAAACCCGGCCCTCTCCTACACCGTAACCCAACAACAGGAACCCCGAAATCCACAATTAAAAAATATAAGTTTGATTACCCGTTTCGCTATTCCAGATTCTGAATTTATGTTCAACCTATGTTAGATCCTCCCTTTATCTTTTTCCTCGCAGGTAAGCAAAGGTGGTGATGAATGGTTCAATGACGGGGAAATTAGCAACTAGGGTTTCGGATATTGAAACCTCAGTTGTCGCTTATCCTTCTACAACAACTTTGCGACTGAGTTCTTCTTTTTGTAAAATTCGCTCCCCTCGGTACTGTTGTTGTCCATGTTCTTCTGTGAATTTCGTTTTAATTTGTAGCAACTTTGAGGCTTCAGAAAAATATGAAAACGGTTAATTTGTTGTTTTTGATTTAGGAATCTCTTCAATGTAATTGATTAGGTCATTCTAGTTTAAGAAATGTATTTTTGAATTCTGGTATGTGATATTAAGAACACCGTATGAATGTAAATTGAATGTATTGGCTTGATTTTCGTTTTGTGTATTTATTGTTGTTTATGTAATTAAAGGTTATTTCCAGATTTGATACAAATCAATTTTTTTTCGTAATCTGTCTTTGTGCTTAAGCTCGTTCATGAGCGTGCTTCTTCTTTTCCACGCGCGTGAAAAAAATCTCCACAATACCTGTTAATAGAATTGGGCCAATACATCTTATTTATTGTTTTGGGCGTGTCTGCTTTTTTTATAATGAAACAATTTTTCTTTTAACAGATAAAACAAATAATTTCAATATGACAGATAAAACCCTATATAGTTGTTGTAAAAAAATTTTTTAATGAAAATAGAGAAAACTGGAATGGGCCTATTAGCTTGGGCTATGATTTTGGAATCCTTTTGACAATTATTTTAAACAGAAATCTAATATATTGTTTTAGTTAAAACAAAAATTAATGTTATAGCAATAATGATGACAACAATTTCAATAACATTAAAACTTTTTAAAAAAATGATGGGCCATCTTATTGGGCTTTTATAAAAAAACAAGATTGCTTTATAAATTCTCCCATCCCTATTAAAGACTTAAAATAGGCTTTAATGTATTTAATTTCAACTAATAATAAACTCAAATTGACTTTAAGAATTAAGGACTTAATAATTACTTGAATAATTTTCCATTTTTGAATCGCATGGGCCATAGGCCGACATGCTTCGCGAATGGGTTTACGAACATATGAGTCTTTCTGATTTAAAAAGTCTCATTTTCCTGAATTAAAATACACCCCTCTTACTGATTTGAATTCTTCTTAAAAAGTGGGCCAACAGATATTGTTGGACCATCTTTAATTAAATATTTCTTCTATTTTAAAATCTTGAAAAATATGATCGTCGAGGTAGGGAAAATTTGGGGTATGACAGCTGCCCCTATTTAGTTATCTTTCGATTGCATAGTTCGAGAATACGCAGGTCTCGCATGTTTCGATTGGAATTTTATTAAATACTGGAAGACCCCAACATTTTCCCAGAAGACTTACAAGGATACGTTGTGCAGCATTCTCACGGTGTGAAGAATAGGTACTGATGGTGATGTATCATCTTACCAGTGTTTAGAGCAGAGTTTGTGATAGAATGACGACGCGGATGACTCGTCAGTCTAACAGAGATTGCAGAACTCATATATTTACCGTAACCTAGGAGGTAAATGATACAAGTTTAAAAAGCTGACTTACTAATGCTAGGAGACTAATATAGCAAGTTTTAATCTGATTTGATTTTGTATATTCATCGCAACCTAGGGGATGAATAAAAAAAAGTCTGATAACACATTGTTATATGGAGACTAGTGCAAAGAGACTGATGCAAACATCACAACATTGTTGTATGGAAAAATGGATAACAAACATCACTGCATTGAGACTGATACAATGATTTACGTCGAGTAATAAACTTGATAATGACACTACTTCCTGGAGACTGATACAATGGATTATGTCGCAGAAAAGTTTGGTAATAACATTGTTGCATGGAGACTGACGCAATGAGTTATGTCGCAGATTTTACACATTGTTGCATAGAGACTAATACAATGAGTGGAATTTCTAATTTCTCAATGTTGTTGCCTGGAGTCTGACACAATGAGCTAGATCGTAAAGAAAGAACATATTGCTCCGTGGAGACTGACACAATAAGTTAAATTGTAGATTTCATACATTGTCGCATACAGACTGACACAATGAGTGGAATTACTGATTTCTCAACATTGTTGCCTCAAGTCTGACACAATGAGCTAGATCACAAAGGAAAACATATCGTTGCATGGATACTGACACAATAAGTTATATATAGAAAATTCACACATTGTTGCATAGAGACTGACACAACGGGTGGAATTGTCGACGTTGCAACATTGCTGCATGGGATCTGACACAACGAGCTAAGAAAGAAACACATTGTTGCGTGGAGACTGACACAATAAGTTAATTTGAAGAATTCACACATTATCTCATAGAGACTGACACAATGAGTGGAGTTGCTAATTTCGCAATATTGTTGCCTGGGGTCTGACACAATGAGCTAAGAAAGAAACATATTACTGCGTGGAGACTGATACAATAAGTTAATATAAAGGAAGTTATTTTGATTGACCCATATCTTAGTTATCTACAACTGAGATGAGAATAGATTTTGCTGGTTATCTGTCCCTAACCGAGGTAAGAATTGATTGGAGGGCCCTAAGATATCGACATTGTTCGTAGTGGGTTTTGAGAGATGTCATGCATGATGTATATGCATAATGTGAGGATCTTAATGGGAAATCTACTGCCGAGACTTCCACGGAACCTACTGTTGAGATTCAATTTGAGTTACCTTCTTCTGAGGTCTTCCGGATAATCAACTACCGTGATTAACCAGGACAATCTACTGTTGAGATTCAATTTTGAGTTACCTTCTGCCGAGGTCATCCAGATAATCAACTATCGTGATTAACCAGGAGAATCTACTGTCGAGGTTCAATTTTGAGTTACCTTCTATCGAGGTCTTCCGAATAATCAGCTGACGTGATTAACTAGGAGAATCTACTACCGAGATTCAATTTTGAGTTACCTTTTGTCGAGGTCTTCCGGATAATCAGCTGTCGTGATTAACCAGGAGAATCTACTACCGAGATTCAATTTTGAGTTTCCTTCTGCCAAGGTCTTCCGGATAATCAGTTTCCATGATTAACTAGGAGAATCTACTGCCGATATTCAATTTTGAGTTACCTTCTGCCGAGGTCTTCCAGATAATCAACGACCATTATTAACCAGGAGAATCTACTGCCGAGATTCAATTGAGAATACCTTCTGTCGAGGTCTTCTAGATAATCAACTATTGTGATTAACGAGGAGAATCTACTGCCAAGATTCAATTTGAAATATTTTTTGCCGAGGTCTTCTGGATAATCAACTGCCATGATCAACTAGGAGAATCTACTACCGAGATTCAATTTAGATTACCTTCTATCGAAGTCTTCCGGGTAATCTACTGTCGTGATTAACCACGAGAATCTACTGTTGAGATTCAATTAAGATACCTTCTGTCGAGGTCTTCCGGATAATCAACTGCCATGATCAACCAGGGGAATCTACTGCCGAGATTCAACATAGAATTACCTTCTGTCGAGGTCTTCCGGATAATCAACTGTCGTGATCAACCAGGAGAATCTACTGCCGAGATTCTGTATAAAGATTACCTCCTGCCAAGGTTTTCTGGAAAATCACATGTCGTGATCTACCAGGAGAATCTACTGCCGAGATTCAATGTAGAATTTATAGCTTGATTGATGATGATGATTGTCTTCACATAAAAATGAGGTTTTATGCTATGCGTGTAAATTTGATTGATGCATGAAATGAGATGATTGATTAATGCATGTAATGATTGATTGATGCATGAAATGATTGATTGATGCATGAAACATGATGATTTACTGATGTATGTGATGAATGACTTGGATATATGTAAATGGATGTTGGACTTTGAAATGCAAATGTGTAGTTGAGCTTTTTGAGGTATGCTCAACCCATGCTATCAGATTTCGTCAGATGGATGAGATGATTAGTAGCTTGATTTTGGATCGAGGAAACCCTAATGCATGATTTATGCGGCCTTATGCTTTAAGATTATGACTTGAATGCTTTTTTTGAATGGTGCCCTTGTGATGGGCCGTGGATGATTAACGTATGGAGGTTTATTTATGCAACAAGGTTTCTTGTCACATGATGGTAGAGTGTTGAGCTTACATGATTCCCTGATACTTGTCTCGAACTCGAAGATTGTTGACATAGAAGAGAGGTCCCCTGGATATTATGAAAGTACTCAGAGAACTTGCCCCTGTGTGGACAGTTTTTTGCCTAATTTGTTGGTAGGGTCTTGGAGGAGAGTCTCTTTGATATGATCTTGGAAATAATTTGATCATGATATGAATGACCCCACTATTTTGTGTTATGCCCCTGATTGAAAGACTCTTGAAAATGCTTGGCTTTGATGAACTATTTTGAATCAACTCCTTTTGATCGAGCCTCGCAGCAATTCGCCCCAACATTTGAATTTTGAAAATGTGTGTCCCTTCATCTCCAGGATCTGAAGGAAGTATCCTTTAAAAGTAACTTATACCTTTCCATGAACTTGTCATAGGTTGCCCCAAGTATTCAGAACTTGAAAAGTTTGTACTTGAAGTTATTTGAAGGGTTCAGACCCTACTGTAGTAGGATGAACTTGGTACGTACTGCCCCGACATTTGAATCTTGGAAGGATGCCCCTTCTTATCAATACCTTGAGAAGCTTTTGAACATGAGGAAATCGAGTCATACCCTGTTGTGATATGACTTGATTTAGGAATTCTCCTTCGAAGGTTATGCCCCTGAGTGAACAGTGTTTTAAAATTTGATCCGAGTTGATTGACTTTCTACATGATTGCCCCTAGTCAATAGTGTCTCCATGTGAAACCCATATGATCATTAGTATTTTCCCCTATTTATATGGGTCCTCTTAGATGCTTTGCCCTTAGTTAGGAGCCTCTTGGAAATGTTGCCTTTGATTAGACCCTTTTTGAAATCTCCTTGATGCTAAGTATTGATTCGTAGATAAGATTGTACATTTTGAAAAAGTAATTTTGTTAGATGCACATGCAAGTTCTTGAACTAGAAGTTTGATATTTAAAATAAATGGATTATTAGGAATAGATATTTGAATAAGTGAAGTGATTAATAATTTTAACAAACATAGGAGTCAGTTTTAACATAAATCTTGTTGAGTATGCTTTCATAGTGAACCTAGCTTCAATTAGGACTTTTAAAGGTTGTAACGTGGCCATGGTTCATGGTTTAAGAAACAAAAGATATAAGGCTCATAATTTAT